TATTTCATATATAAGCCCACATGTTTGATTAAAATCCTTACACTTTTCCCTTCCAAATATGGAGGGAATTTATTATTTTTATTCCTATTTTATAATCATTAAAAATTGAAACCTTTAATGGACCACAAAGCTTATGTTATTTATCGTTAGGCGGCTAAATATAATTTTTAAATTAACTAGAAATAGAACGAATAATGATATCATCGGAAGCTACTAACAAAAAAATTGCAATTAGCACACATCGATTAGTTTAAATAGTCATATCAATATCTCATGAGTAAAGACAAATTTCCCTCCTAATATGCCCAAAATTAACAATGCGAACGACTCAAATGATGGTCCAATTGATGCCTTTCTTAATCAATGTTTGGTAGACGAAAATTAATGTTAATTTTTGCACCTATTGTTTAATATGAAATTAAAATTAAATAGAACGCCCATTGTTTAATTTGAAATTAAAATTAAATATATCTTATGCCTATCAACTATTAACCGTCTAATATATTATTTATCTCAACTCATAGGACCTTTTTTTATTTTATTTTTCTTATTATTCACTAGTTGTAGACATTTATTGCCTAAGTTCACCCTAAACAAATCCAACCACCACTCTTTTTCTTCTCCCCAAAAAAAAAAAAAAAGAAAGAGTTATGTCCACAAATGGTCACTCAAGCTTGTGTGTGTGAAATTTTAAAAGTTGGTCATTAAATTATTTATTGACATTTCGATACATTATAGTTTGAAGTTTTATCATTTACTAAAAAGAGATGATGTGTTGAGTTATCAAAAATATATTCAAGGAGCAGAAAGTTCAAGATAACATATTTCAACTCTCTCAAACAATTTTAAAAGCATATCTTTTTCGTCAAGAAATGTAATTTTAGTTTAACCAAACTATTTTAACATGATGCTGCCCAAAAACTGTACATGGCAATGCACGTCAACTGCAAGAGGGAGCAAGACCTTGAACATATTGGCTTCACAAAATGGGCTCGACCTTGATATAATAGGATTGACTTTACCTTGTCTTTGGAATTTACTTATACATGCACAAAGGAATTTAAAATAATTTCAATTTCTTTCAATGATCATTTTTGTGTTTAGATAAAAATAATTGTGATTAGAATTGTATATTTAACAAATTCTGTAAACTCTTTTGCATATCATGGAAACGAACAATCCCGATCTTTACACGTTTTTGTAAATTGCGA